GGAACTTTCTTCCAAAATCGACCATATACTGGGACACAAAACAAATCTCAACAAATATAAAAAGATTGATATAATTTCATGCATTCTATCAGACCTAAATGAAATAAAGCTTAAAATTAACACCAGAAGAAACCCTAGTAACTACATGAACACATGGAGATTAAACAACATACTCTTGAATGATGAATAGGTCAAAGGAGAAATTAAGAAAGAAATGAAAACATTCCTCGAACTAAATGAAAAGGATGATACGACAAAACAAAACCTCTGGGACATGCTGAAAGCAGTTCTTAGAGGGAACTACATCAAAAAATCAGAAAGAACACAAATAAATTCCTTAACATTGCAACTAAAGTCACATGAAAAGCAACAGCAAATGAAACCCAAACCCAGCAGACAAGAAGAAATAACAAAAATCAGAGCAGAAATTAATGAAATGGAAACAAAGAAAACAATACAAAGAATCAACGAATCTAAGAGGTAGTTCTTTGAAAAGATAAACAAGATTGACAGACCACTAGACTAGTTAACGAAAAGAAAGAACATCTCCAAATCAACAAAATCAGAGATGAAAGGGGAAACATCACAACAGACACCAAAAAGATCCAGAACATTATAAGGGAATACTTTAAAAACCTATACACTACTAAATTTGAAAACCTAAAAGAAATAGATGGGTATCCAAAAGCATGGGAACCACCAAAACTGAACCAAGAAGAGATCAACAGCTTAAACAGACCCATAACACATAATGAAATTGAAACAGTAATACTAAACCTCCCTGCTAAAAAAAGCACAGGAGAAGATGGATTTACAGCAGAATGCTACCAGACATTTAAAGAAGATCTACATCCTATACTACTTAATTTATTCAAAAAGATAGAAATGGAGGGAGAGCTTCCAAATTCCTTCTATGAAGCCACCATCACTCTAAAAACAAAGCCAGGTAAAGATACAACCAAAGAACAAAACTATGGACCCATATCCTTAATGAACAGAGATGCAAAAATTCTCAACAAAATATTTGCAAACCACATACACATACACATCAAAAAGATCATCCATCATGATCAAATCAGCTTTGTTCCAGAGCTGCAGGGATGGTTAATATACGTAAGTCAATAAATGTGATAAATCATATAAACGTACTCAAAGACAAGAATCACATGGTCATCTCAATATATGCAGAGAAAGCCTTTAACTAAATTCAACATACATTTATTTTCAAAGTCTGAGAGGACATTGTACTGGGGGGAACACAACTCAATGTAATTAAAGCCATATACAACAAACCCACAGCCAACATCATTCTAAATTGAGAAAAACTGAAGCATTCCCATTAAAATCAGGAACCAGGCAAGGCTGTGCATTATCTCCACTCCTTTTTAACAGCACTTGAAACTCTTACAAGGGCAATAGGACAAGAGAAGGAAATTAAAGGAGTAATAATTGGAAGAGAAGAGATCAAATTATCCCTTTTTGCAGATGATATGATATTATACCTGAGACAGCAAAAATTCCACCAGAAAACTCCTAGAAATTTTTAATACATTTAGAAAAGTGGCAGGTTACAAAATTAATCTATAAAAGTCTATAGTCTTTCTGTATGCCAATAATAAGCAATCAGAGAGAGTACATGGAAACACTCCATTCACAATAGCTGCAAAACAACAACAACAACAAAAAGCAAAAACATATCTTGGAATAAACCTAATCAAAGACATTAAAGACCTCTACAATGAAACTTTTAAATCTTTAAAGAAAGAGATTGAGGAAGACATCAGAAGATGGAAGGAACTCCTGTGCTCATGGATTGGAAGAATTAATATTGTGAAAATGATCATCCTACTAAAAGCCACTTGTAGATTCAATGCAATGCCAATCAAAATCCCCATGACGTCCTTCACAGAACTGGAAAAACCATCCTAAGATTCATATGGAAGCACAAAAGACCTCGGATAGCTAAAGCAATCCTGAACACTAGAAGCAATGCTCGGGGGATTACTACACCTGGCGTTAAACTGTATTACAAAGGTATAGTCATAAAAACAACATGGTACAAAAATAGACCCATAGATCAAGGGAACAAAATAGAAGACCCAAATATGAGTACATGAAATTTCAGCCAGCTGACATTTGACAAAGGGGCCAAGAACATTCACTGGAGGAAAGACAGCTTGTTCAGCAAATGATGCTGGCAAAACTGGATCTCCACCTGTAGAAGAATGAAACTAAACCCCTACTTTTTACCTTGTACAAAAGTAACCTCCAAGTGGATCAAAGACCTCAATGTGAAGTCTGAAACTCTGAAACTGTTAGAAGAAAACATTGGCAATAACCTATAAGATATGTGTGTAGGAAAGGATTTTCAGAACTGGACATCAATTGTTCAAGAAACAAGGTCAAAAATCAACAAATGGGACTTCTTTAAACCAAAATGCTTTTGTACATCAAAAGAAGCAACCAAGGAAGTGAAGAGAAAATGCACAGAGTTGGAGAAAATCTTCAGCAACACTTCCGACAGAGGTTTAATATCCAAAGTATGTAAGGAATTCAAAAACCAAAGAATAAAGGAAGGAAGTAACCCAGTTAAAAGATGGGCTAAGAAACTGAACAGAGAGTTCTCAAAAGAAGAAATAAAGATGGTTAAGAAGCATCTTAAAAGGTGATCAACATCATTAGTAATTAGGGAAATGCAAATTAAAATCACTTTAAGATTTCATCTTACCCCAGTCAGACTGGCTAAAATCAAGAGAACAAATGATACCAAATGTTAGAGAGGATGTGGGGAGAGGGGAACGCTCATCCACTGGTGGTGGGATTGCAAACTGATTCAACCCCTATGGTAAGCAGTGTGGAGAACTCTTAAAAAACTACAAATGAACCTACCAATTGACCCAGTTATACCACTCCTTGGCATATACCCAAAGAACTCATCCTATTGTAGAAACACTTGTACATCCATGTTTGTTGCTGCTCTTTTCACAATAGCTAAGAGATGGAAGCAACCTAAGTGTCTCTCAGTTGACGAATGGATAATGAAAATGTAGTTCATTTATATGACGGAGTTTTACTCAGTAGTAAAGAAAGATGAAATCATGAAATTTGCAGGTAAATGGATGGGACTAGAAACTGTTATACTAAGTGAAGTAACAGACTCAGAAAACAAACAAACAAACAAAAACGATGTATGTTCTCCCTCATATGTGGATCCTAGCACCAAATCCTGATAAGTGTGTTTGTATCCAGACATAACTGCAGGAACTAGGATAATGAAAAGGAACCAGGGAGGTAAAGGACAAGAAAGAATCTAAAAGTGAAGAACAGTAGGAAACAAGTGTTAATAAGGGAGATATGGATAAAAATGGGATTATTTTAAGGGGAGTGGGGAGGGAAGGTTATACAAGGAATGTAGGGGATAAGGGGGCTTAAGAGAGGTGGGACCATAGGAGAAGGGTATTATTAAGGGAGAAATGGGAAAAATGGAGGCACCTTAAATGGGGAAACCATGGTGGCAGGGTTAGACAATGTGAGAGGTAAATAATGCCTGGCTAGTTTTAAAAAACCAGAGGGAACCATATTAGTCCAACAACCTATTGACAAATTATACATACAGCTAGCTCAAGGAATATCATACATGTCTAGGCAAGGTTCATCTGAGAATGTTTTGTCTTTGCTCAAGCTTTGTTTACATAGCACATGGTATTTAAAAATACCATACTGGTGAAACTAACCTTCTTGGATATCTAACAGCCATACTTTGAGGCCTATACTAATTTGATCAGAGGGACATAAAGGACAGTTTTTGTTCCTTGCCCTCCTAGGTCAACTAAGCTCCAGGGGACTATAAACATCTCTTATAATGTCCTGTAACTGTGGTACATCACCTGTCCTCTTGATCAAGGAGGCCATGGAGACCCCACCAAATGTACTTGAACCAGTTTCCAGTTTACAAAGAGGAGGGTCTACACAGAGGAAACGTTTCCTCCATGCTTCCAAGTCAAGCCATCCACAGTCGAGCATGACCTTTGACTTACCTTCACATAGATGGAACTGGTAAAAGAAAGGAGCCAGGGGCTCCTCCCAGGCCCATGTTACCCCTGAGGAACAGCTCCTCAAATGACCTTAAGAGTAAAAATAAATTGGTTTATCCAGGCCAACTGTAGGGTCTTAAACACCCAAAAGGAAAGTATAACAGAAGATTAAAGGGATCAATATAATTCTTTAAGTGTCCATGAGCATAGCTAAAAGCTACATAATAAGAAACAATGCCAGACAGGAGATACCTTCCTTTGAGTTGTTGGCCAGGGTGGCCCAAGAGACTCCCAGACAGTAACTGGGAAAATGAACAGCAGACCCCAATCTTATCTAAAGGAATGTTTACAACTGATTGCTACTAGATTAGATTATGAAGAACTGATTTTCCTAAAACAAGGATCTCTAGATAGGCTGAGTAGAGTCAGTGGATGGACAAGCAATGGAGAATGGCTAGGGCATGGACAAAACAGTGGAAAGTAACAAGGGGCTCCAGTAACAGTGGGCTCCAGTGGGGGGAGGGGGAGGCTATGGGAGGGTGCCATTTGGGAAGTGAGTATATAGATGAATAAGATTGTTTTGGATGTTCTGTATGAAATACACACACACACACACACAAAATCAACAAATAAAAAAATGAGTTTATCTGAAAAAAATAAATGCCTAGTAAGTATGTAGGCTATTTCCATGATGTTAGAGTGACTCATACATGTGGCTTGTTTTTGTTGGTGTGATTTGGTCTAGAGCTAAATGGCTGCCTGGAGCTCCTGTTTCCTGGTCATCTCTGCAATACGGTAGGATGAGCTGCTTGACAGAGCTAGTGCTTTGGTTATGGTCTCATTCCCTATGTTACATGAATGCTCGCATTCTCCTGCCCTTTTACTTAACTGAAGGGGGACATAGGTGATATTTTCTGCTGGCTGAACAATGTCTCTAGCAGGTGTTGTGTGAGTCAGGAAACTCACGTGATTGAGCCTTCTTTACCAGTCTCCATTTTCTTTTTTAACTCTGACATTCCAGGTGGTTTTGATGGATTTTGAGTGTTAGGATATGTGGTCAAATCTTGGAAGGAGTTTTCCTCAGTGATACTGTCTATGGGAAGGAAACAACATACAGATAGAAGAATGTATGCCACTCTTAACAGTTATTTTTGGGAGCATACACTACAGAGATGCTTTCTGTCTTCTAGAAACATCTTTCAAGAATGCCTCCTTGGGGATTACTGCTGAGCAAAGCCAGGAGAGTTAGACTGTAGATAATTTCAGGCCAATGAAATGTCTACTGAAAGTTTGTGTATCACCTAATAAAACTTTCATGTGGTATATACTTTTGAATAGTAATGAAGCAGAGAAGCTCTCATCACCTGACAGGCATTTGATTTCATTAAAGTATTCATCCTTCATGGGTAAAATTAATGTATGATAAGTTTGGTAAAGTATAAGAGGTAGAAATTATGTTATTAACATTATTTTAGAATTCACATTCTAATGTTTATGAAATCAAATTTCTGATTTTGACTTGATCATCTTTAGCTTTGGAATCCTTTCTAAAGCAAGGACCAGTATAAACTAGTATGTAAGTCTGATTTCAGTTCTGAAATAATTTTTCTCATCAAACCTACATAATTTCTAACAAATATTGAAAATTGCTGTTTACTCAGAATAATCAACTCACTGTTATATATTTGGATCAAAACCTTATATTAAAGATTTTAAAGAAAGGAAACTGCTGAATATTAAAGGAAAATACAAGGGCTAGGGGGATGGCTCAGCAGTTAAGAGCACTGGCTGTTCTTGCAGAAGACCTGGGTTGAAATCCCTGCACCCACATGGTGGCTAATAACTGCCATAACTCCAGTTCCAGAGGATCTGACACACTCTTCTGTCCTCCTTGGATACTGCATGACATGAGTGCACTTACACACATGTAGGCAAAATACTCATACACATAAAAAATAAATAAAAAAAGAAAATATAAAAATAAAAAGAAAAAATAATACAGTTAAATGGCTATTCCTTCTATAGTGTCTAATAAAGTTTAATTGATTGCATTGTACATAGGAAAATGAAACCAAGATCCCACAATCATCAATCTTACTGTGTTGTAATATATTGTAGTTTAAAAGTGTAAACCAACCCATCTTTTTTTTTTTTTGAGACAGAGTCTCCTTGTAACCCCAGCTGGCCTGGCACTCATTATGTAGACCAGACTGGCCTGGATCTCACAGGGATCCACCTGCCTCTGCTTCCTGAGTGCTGGTATTACAGGCATGTGACACCATGCTTGGCTCATAGGAGTCCCTTGCCATGAAATTTTCAATAATCTATCTAAATCTTTCAGTGTAATAAGCCTTTTGAAAATGTGTTTCAGAAATAAAGGAAATTAAAATTGGGTCACTACTTATAAGTTTTAAAGAGTTTGTGAATAAGAATTTCCTAAGACACTGTTTCTATTTTGGAATTATAGTATTTTTAGCAACAAGACAGAATACACAGTATTAAATACATTTTTATTATGGTTAAATAGAAACCCCCCTTAACTCTTTAAATTATTTTGTGTGTCAAAGAACCTCAATGTAATTGCAACACTGAAGTCTATAAGGACCATCGTTGAAGTAAGATATTGCAATGTGCATGAAATCTTCCAAAAATGGCATCCTGTACTGGCACGTGTGGTATGTTGAGTTTATTAGCATCCAATAGCTTTGAGAGTAAAAGAATGGCATATACAACTGCACTAAATTATGTTTGACAGAAATACAAAAGGAGTTTCTGTGTTCCCTGTGTGCTTGGGTCAAGCTCTGTTTTGTTTTCCAATTTCTCTTGATCCAACCAAAAATGAAGTTTTCACATCTCTGATGTGATGCCACATTATCCGCGATGCCTGAAAAATGAGGTAGCGTATCCTCTTCCATATCCTCAAAGACTAGGACAATTACTGTATGATATTTCAAAGCAGAGTTCTATAGTGTTTGGCCAAAGATGTCTAGTGTATTTATTAACTAGAACCTTGAAGACTGCATGTTGAACAGAAACTTTTTTTGACATGGAGAAGATCTAGACTTATGCTGGGTTTCTCTTAGGAGTTTGGACCAAAAAATGGTTACGGGCCATTGTGAAAATACCTGTTTTATAAGAAAAATAGGATTAAAATAGGCTTTGGAAAATGAGTTACAAAAAGAAAAAAAATCTTTCATAAAGAACAGGCAAAATCTGTAAAGGCAATCTCTTAGGAGATTTTTTTTATTGACTATTTCTTATTAAGCAACATGAATATCTGTTGTAGCAGTACACACATTTATTGCTCAAGCAATACAGCATGTAGGGGCTGGAGAGATGGCTTAGCAGTTAAAAGCACTAGTTGCTCTTACAGAGGACCCGGCTTTGATTCCTAGCACCCATATGACAGCTAACAACCATCTCTAACTTCAGTTCCAGGGGATCCATCACCTTCTTCTGACCTCCACAGACATTGCATTACAAGGATGTACTTACATACATGGAGGCAATACACTCATACACAAAGATGAAAATAATAAATATTTAGAAATATTAAAAATACAGCATGTGTATGTTTATAAATGTGGATTTATGCTAGTACCAATTAAATGACTATTCTACAAGATTTGTTTTATTTTAATAAGAATTTTTTCATCTATCATCTGAGTTTGGATTAATTCAAAAACTTTGAATTAATTCTAAGTAGCTCCTAGCTCTTTGGTAGGTGTTCCAGAGACATTACCATACCCTTCTAAATGACATTGTCTCTGTTATGACAAGTCTTGGCTATTTAGGAACTCATTAAAGTCTCAACTTGTGGATAGGCCATTAATTATGAAACAAGTACTTAATAGTTTTTTGATGAAGATGAGAAGCGAGTATAGCCCATTCTTGACTACCAAGTAGAGCAACTTCAAAAAATATCAAGAGGATCAAAACAAAGGGATCATCAACTGTAGCTCAGTTGGGGATGTCTTTTTATCCACACAGCATGTTACTTGCAGGAACAGATGGTCAGAGTGTTCACATCATCCTCATGAAAGAGAAATATAAAATACAAGGCAACTCTTGCTCTTGAATCTAAGGTAAAGTTTGTCAGCTACACATTAAACTTTTCCCAGCTTCACTCATGGACAGCAGGGTTCACTCTTTTGTAGCTGCCTGTATGAGTAGTGTAAGTCCTCTTGTTCTTTGCATATGGCACAGCAATTGCTAGGTCTCATCAGTGCTTTTAGTCAAATTCTGACCTGAAATGTGTAACCTTGACAAACTTAGAATCAAAGTGCTGTGATATGCTTGCTTTAATTGAATGTGTGTGAGTTAGTGCTATTGAATTTGCCTTCCAGGTACTGGTTTCCAGACTGGCAGCATCTCACACTGGGCCTGTGTAATATACTTTCAGTCTGCCCGGACCCTGTGTAGAAGTGCATCATGCAGACCAGAATAGGTATGAAACATCTGCTTGCCTTTTCAAGACAGGGAGTTAGTGATGTGGAAATACATTAACCTTCTGCATTTTATCAGTAGCATTAACTACATGCTGGAAAAGGAAGGATTCAGAGGACAAACACAATTTGGAAATAAGTGTTCAAATTAGAAGTGTACCCAATTGGCTTTTATATTTAGGATGGATATGGTTATAGATAAAGTTTAAAATCTTTTTGTTGGTTGGAATGTTTATCCTAAGGAGTAATTTCACTTGAATTTCTAATTTTCTAATTTGTATGGCACTAAATACATTATGGATTCTGGCACATGGTTTTAATCCCAGCACTTTGGAGGTGGAGGCAGGCGGATGTCTGTGTGTTCAAAGCTAGTCTGGTCTATATAGTGAGTTCCAGGACACTTGGGGCTACAGGGAAACGCTGTCTCAAAAAAGACCAAAAAAAAAAAAAAAAAAAAAAAAAAAAAAAGGGCTTCATTAAGAACCAATAATAGGGGCTGGTTGTTAATTGGTTAAAGCACTTGCTGCTTTTGCAGAGGACCAGAGTTCAGTTGCAAGGACCCATGTCAGGTGGCTCACAACCACCTGTACCTCCACCTACAGGTAATCCAACACCAGGCCCCCTTGGTCATTTCCATGCAGGTGTGCATACATACACCCAGACATACGCATAAACTAAAATAGTAAAATAAAACTTAAGAAAAGAACCAATAGACAAGCTTCTTTTGCAACAGAGACTATTATAGAGTTCTACAACTGGTCACGCAGAGATTAAGTATCTGTGAAATGCCCAACCTGAAGCAACACATCTACAATGGAACTTCTACACCTATGATTCATGGAACATAGTGGAACAGGGGATAGAGAGAATACTAATGCATTTCTCAACTCTCATCATTGAAACTCCCTCATGCAACAGGGACAATGAACCCAGGTCTCAGGAACCATTGTAGAAGAGGGGGCAGGAAGACTAAGAGCCAGGGGAGGAGGTGCATGACTAAATGGAAATAGAGTCTTACAGGCTCCTGTGACCTTTTTCATATGAACTTAGAGCAATGGTGACAGCATGCACAAGACCTATGTAAACTCAGGTAGACAAAAATCCAGCTTAGAATTGTGGAAATGGGCAGCAGGCCCCAATCTTACCTGAAGAACTATTGGGCAGCTGATTACTTCTGGGTGAGGAAGAGCTGATCTTCTTTAAGGGAGGGACTCTAGATAGTCTGACTAGACACCAGTGGATGAACTTGCACTGAGGGACATCAAGGGACATTAACTTGACTCCATAGGCTTTAACATAAATGACAGAATGCATGAAATCCATTCTGTGGGGCGATATGGAAGGGTGCTGATGGGGAAGGGGTATAAAGATGATTAAGATGTTGTGCATGAAATACACAAAAAAATCAATAGAAATCCAGTAGTACCCTGAATTGTTAGATGTTGAGTGAATTAATAGAGATTAAGTCTGGATACTTTTATTGGATGCATGGATGATGTTTTTATTTTTTATCTCAAAGAATAATTCGAAATTTGGAATTAATGTATTGAGTGGCACAGTTTTAAAATATTATTTATTATTTTTTATTATTTTATATGTATGAGTGTATTGCCCGCATGTATGTAAGTGCACCCCTGTTGTGCAATGCCCACAGAGGTCAGAAGAAGGCATCCAATCCCCTGGAACTGGAGTTAGGACAGTTGTTAGCTGCCATGTGAGTCCTGGAATTTGAACTCAGGTCCTCTGCAAGAGAGCCAGTGCCTCTCCAGCCCCCTGCCCACTTTTTTTGTGGGGGGGACGACAGGCTATCAGTGTAGACCTGGCTAGTCTCGAACTCCCAAAGATCCTCTTTCTTGCCTCTTAGTGCTGGGAGTAATGGTGCACAACACTGTGCTCAACTTTTTTGTTTTTTTTGAGGCAGTAATGTTTCTGTAGCCCAGGCAGGCCTTGAACTCCTGGCAGTCCTTGCCTCAGCCTCCTAGGTCTTCAGATTATAGACATGAGCTACCATGCCTGGCTTGCCTCTCTCAAATTTTATTGTGCAGTTTGCAACATAGAAAAGTTGAAAGAATAATTCAGTGAACACCTGTCATACAGTTTTTACCAAACCCAACAATTGTTACAGGTTTTGCTACATGTTATTATAGTACATATTCTGTATATTATGTATGTATACTTTTTCTTGATGGTGCTGTGGATCAAACCCAGGTTCTTGCCCATGTTAGGCAAGCCTCTACTACTGAGGTATATGTCTAACTCTGACATATTTTCTTTCTTCATACACATTTCTTTGAAAGTTGACATCATATTTCAGTCCAACTATTTCAGTATTCTTTTATTTAATGACATTAATACTATTACATAACTACTATGCCATTATCCCACCCAAAATCAATAGTAATGACCTTGTCTTTTTTTCTTAGGACAGGGTCTTAGATAGCTCAGACTGAACCTCAAACTCAGTTTATAGCTGAGGATAACCTTGAACTCTTGAGCTCCTGCTTCTACCTCTTAAGTACTGGAATCATAAACCTTTGCCACTACACCTGGTTCAGTAATCATGTTTATAACATCGTCCATATTCAGATACCGCCAGTTGCTTAATGTAATTTATAGGCCTGGGATATAGCTCACTTGGTAAAAGTACTTAACTAGCATGCACAAAGCCCTGGAATCTAACCTGATGATTCCAGCACTATGTAAACCAGACTTCGTGGTGAAGATTTCTAATCCCAACATTGTGGATTTGGGGCAGGAGGATCAGAAGTTCAGTGTCATTATTGACTACATAATGAGTTTGATGACAGCCTGGGTTATACAGGACTCTGTCTCAAAATAATAAAATAAAATTATGGTATAGTTTCTAGGTTGCCTTTGAATCATATATTCACTTCCTTGCTTATCTTATAAACAGTTCTGTTGACTGCACCCCCTCTCCC